TCTCTCGCCATGACAACAGTCGCGTTTTTTGCTCACCGCTTTTTTCGTTCGCCGGCACTAATCGAGAGCCTGTAAAACGTATCCTATCTCCATATCTATGGGAGTGTTATATTATTCCAGGGGAAAAAGTCCTCTGGAGATTAGTTGCTAGAATAAGTGTTAATAAATACAATTTTTCTTGTTAAACAGATTTAACACCAGAAACTTCCACATCTAAAGCCAAGACTTCCCAGTTGTCAGATGTCTCAACAAAGTTACCAGAACCTTCTCCAACAGTTTCTTTGACGACCTTAAAAGACGAAATCACAGCTAACGAGCCTGGGGCACTGAATCTCCAAAGTCCCCACGATGTTGCTTTCAAATGGAAAATAGCCTTTGGAGTTTGTTTGGCTATGATTATCCTATTACTGGCAGGTAAGCTGGGTCAACTTTACTCGGGGCGGGGCGATACCATCATGGGATCTGCAAATTGGATGCTTTTAGAGCCGGCTCGCGTTGTGAGGCAGATACATAGCTTTTTTTACTGATGTATAACTAAATAGGCGTCTCTACTTATCTATTTTCTTTGAGGCGAATTTTTGAATTGAGAGATAAGGACAGAAATTACGTTAAACTGAGCTTCGTCAAAGGCTGCGCATCTTGAAAAATTTAGACAAAATTTTTCAAGTTTGCCATTTGCAATCTGTGATATTAACCATCCCTTATCCATTTTGTTACAGTCTTGAATCTTTAGAGTTTGTCTAACCTGGCAAACTATCATTTCAAGGTTTCTTTCCAACTAATGGCAATTTCCAATGGCCGTAAACACAATTTAAAATATCGCAACGTAAATCCTTTAACACCCTCTCTAAATTCTTTCAATCTTCGCGTTCAAGGCAATAATAAGATTTTCAGTTTTCAAAAGCAAATCATGGAAAACATGAAAATCTGAAAACTGAACAATTTTGATCTCAGTGGTTTGTCTATTTCTTTTCAAAGGAGTGTTACTGTACTGCATAAACTACCGTGTGAAGAGAGTCCGCCGCTTTAAACCTTCAGCAGATGATTCCAGTAGGATTGCACGGAATGAAAGGGAACGACAAACGTTCCAGAATCCCATTTACGATGACAGTGAAGTTACTAAAAATGAGCCAGCGGCCAACCATGACAACTCTACCTACCAGCTGACGGAGAACCCGGAGAAGAAGAAAAAGAATGCACATGGCGGGTGCACGTTCCAGAACCCCGTGAACAGTGCGACAAAATTCGATAATGAAGAACCGACGGTATGCAGCCACGATAACCCAGCCTATCAGATGACCAGCGATCTTAACACGGAGACATAAACTTGAAAGAGCTCCCCAACCTTGAAAGATGAGACTGACTGTTTCTGTTAGGTAGATAGGTCAATTTTGACACCTTTGTGCGAGTTTCTCTTTTACATTGCCAATCAAGTATTGAGTAAGTCTTAGAGAAAGTAGAAAAGCTGAATAGCCACAATCCTATAGCTATAAATAGCATGTCTGTAGCTCGTAACTCTTTAAACGATTGATTTAACTTGCTGTAGGCTCCCTTCGGTTATAGTTGCAAACATACTGAATGGATATACAGT